AATAATAATATTTTGATTGCAATAAAGAAATAAAATAATTGCCATACGCATCAAGAGTACAGAGGAGAATTTACGAACGTATTTCGATGATGATGACTTCATATAATAACTCAGTAATTTTTGAAATAACAATCCTGATGTTGATTTCAACCTAATTAACCACAAGACCATTTTAAAAAAATGAAATGCCATCATATTTTTTTCATATTGTATTCATTAATACTAAACCAGTAAATATTCAACAGCTTATACAAATTTAATTATAGATATAATACAACAAAAAATACAGAGCGTTTTGAAGCAATATATATAAAAGAATTTAAAGAAATAATTTACATTATTTAAAAAAAATTCAAAAATTTCGAAAATTCTTAATAAAGAAAGCCTCGTTTTTTCATAAAATGTATCAATTTTAAAAATAAAACATAAATGTAGTATATCTTGGAAAGTCCTGAATATTTAAAATAGATATTAAAATAATTAGGAAAACTTGGAAAATATATGATCCTTCATGTTAAATGAGTCTTTTTATAAATTGTATTAATTTTAATTAATACAGGTATATTTTTGAAAGTATGTCCTGAACATTTAAGATAGATATTAAAATAATTAGGAAATCTGGGGAAATAGATGATACTTCATGTTAAATGAGTCTCATGGAATACATTGTGAAATCAAAACATGTCCAAATAAAACATTGTGAAGTTTTTTAAAAACCATATAAAACACTAAAATTACTACAATAAAACTGATTCCACTATAAATACTTATTTCATAATTATGCCTTCAATTATCACCATTTAAATATAAACCAAAACATTTATCAATTTTTAATATAACCGAACGAGGTAGACTCGAAAAATACATTCGGCCTAACGAATTTAACAAAACCATTTAGAATCCATGATTTTTACTTATACAACTATTTTGAGAATTTTAAATACTAGTGCTTTTTGTCTACTCATTTCACGTATTTTAACGTTTTTTTCGCGACATTGATTCTACAAAATCAATCGTCTGTGACTGAGCCATCATTGCCGAGGACATTATATTCCAGAAAATTTATTTGGAATATTAACAATTGTGCAACCGATTATAAATAAATAAAATAATTTAATCTTTGTTGATAGACAGTAATATATTTAATATTGTATACAAAAAATAAGAATAAAAACTGGTAAATGACACCGCAAAATAAAGAACTTCATAATAAGACATTGTTTCTTTGTTGTTACTCTGTAATGGCTTACGATGGATATACAAGATTGCCCTTGCTCATTTTTCAATTTATGAAAATAATGTAGTAATACTAGGAATGATACTACAAAATCATAAATTTTTACTAAAGGCAATCAAAATTTGCAGTTAAAAGTAAAAATAATCCATAAATATAAAAAACAATTACACTATATTTGCGGAATTATTAATTGTGCCAAATAAAGGCCATACTTGATGATGATAATAATAATAAAATGATAAAGGGTCTTATGTAGAAGTTTTAGTAGAAGCAGCTGAAAAAACTTGCACTTTTAGCCAAAAGTGCAAGTATGAACGGAATAAATATACCAATAAAAAATATATTGTTATGATCATAAATAATAAAGCGTTAAATAAATGAAATGGCACTACAATGGCATTACAAAGATGATTTTGTTGCAGAAGATTCAAAGCTTTATTAATTTAAAAATAAAGACAGAATGTTTATAACTATATTCAATAGAATAAAGTGCAATCATAGAAATTTTCCTGAACATTTATTTAAAATAAAAATGATTAGTTTTATTTCATATGGGACTGTAGAAGACTGTAGAACGTGTAATTAGTGTGTACTAGAAGAAATATGTAAACCATTTAATTTATTTAATTTAGTTTTGAATACAAGATATAATACTATGATATATTATTTCTCATATAATTGTAAAATTAGAACAATTTTTTTTATCAATTAAAAGGCTAACTTGTAAATAGGAGGCCAAATAAATTCTGATTAACACATTCGCGGATTGTAAAAGTTTCAACAAGGTACAAAAATTGCCATATTATTTATAAATTGATTATAAGGGTAGCCAGCCTAGACAATATAGGAATATAATATACACCTAAGTCTGTTTTTACACGGAGATTGGTTCCAGAAGAAGCCGTGTAAAAAAAAAAAACGTGTAAAAAAAGACATTGATCTTATACAAAAATGGGTTATTTGTCCTACTCTCTAAAACCTATTAAAATTAGTGAAAAACAAGAATTTTCAAGAACAAGAATTCATGTTTATTTTAATAATAATTCCCCTAAATTAGTGCTATTCACATTTGCTTTGACCAGTAAAAATTGTTTGTACGCGCTAAAGGGGAATTCACTTAAATCTTTAAGCTAGTGTTCGCAAACTATCGATACTATCGATGGTTTCAGACTTTTTTCTTTCATAAATACTTTTTTGTGATATGAACATACATCGCAGAAAATTAAATTTGACAAAAAAATTTAAGTACATAAAATTTCAAATCGTGCTAAATGGAATAAAATCGTGTAAAAAAATTAAAAATATTCAATTTTCAAACCGTGTTATATCAAAACCGTGTACAAAAAGACCGTGTAAAAACAGACTTAGGTGTACTTATATTATATACTTATATTATATACTAAATGAATTATATTGTCATCATATTGGTAGTCAGATTTCATATTTTAATCTTTATATACGATGAATGCTATAGCATACTTATTTATATATGCTTTAATATTTGGATTGATGTGAGTACAATAATGTTAAATACAATGGGTATATATAGAATATTTTTGTCTTTGTATAAATGTGAGCATAAATCGATATGGCCACGAAGATATCTATGCGGCTTTTAATTAAATAAAAATTATTTTCGTTTCATTCTCTTTCTTATTGTTAGTATTTAGATCGAAAGTCTTAGATATGGAGCTGTCTCGAACAAAGATTCCTGTATTAAATTCAGCTCGTTAGAGAAAGGGTAAATATCGTTCTCTTCATCAGCTAAGAACAGTACGGTCTGCATCTCCGTGATTCATTGCAAAATATTTTTTTTAGAAAGTACGAGTTTTAAACTTCGCGTTCAATGTTATTTATTGTATTTTTAGCGACAACCATCGAATTTTATTACAGCGAAAGATTTTAAATCAATTTCAAAGTGCTGTACAACAAATCGCTAGCAGCTGGAGATTTATATTTCAGATAAAAGCGGAGAAATAGCACCGCAAACAATATGGATTTCTCTAACGAAAATATATAGAGTCAAAGACAATACTGTTTAGAAAATAAATTAAAAATAAAAGTTTCGAGTAGTGCAAGATTCTTCTCAAATAATGTATCTTTTTATATCGCCGAATTAAGATATTTAATTTTTTATTTAAATGTCCTGCAAAAATACGTAAACCGTTTCTACTGATGAAACAATAATATCTATAGTACTTGAATATATTCATAATTCGGAAATAAGTAAAGAATATCCAAAAGCATAAAACATTTTTTATAACCTAGTTTCATAATATTATAGACCTAAAAAACTTTTTTATTGGATAGATTTTTGTTATTAAAATTTATATAATAAAGCAGAGGTCTATTGAATTAAGAGTTTTTTAAAGGTACACGGGCAAGAAAGTCCACCATCATCATCCCAAAAAACAAGCCAAGTACAGAATATTTTAGTAATAGTGTTTTAAAGTAGAAGGCAAAAGATGTGTAACCAGCCATCATCATAATTCTCACAACATCGATGTCGACGAAAATAAACGATTTTCGTTGGTAGTTTTTTTTTTTGGGTTTGAGCTCTTGTATTTAGTTTATGATACCTGAATTTATGTTTAGATATACCTTATTTGTGCTTTGTAAGATGCAAATATTAGATTTAACAGTTTTATTTATATAATCTGTATGAAAGCTTACATGTGGGTGGGGTTAAAAAGGACCCGCAGCACTTTTAAATTGGCAAAAGTGTGAACAATAAGAAAAAGTAAATTAAGTTAAAAATGCAATGTCACAAAGACATAAATTAAATTAGTAGTTATTTGACATTTGCTAATAAATATTTTTTTCAAAATACCAGATCAAGGATATACACAAAGAAATCTTTGTAAAAAATGTTCCCATATAATTTGTACAAATTTCACATTGGTTAAATAATGTAGCTATTATATCGTAAAATCCGTCTGAAATTAAAAAATGGACGTTGGATCTGCTTATCCACTGACTGTCTTTGCCCCACCCTTTGGGCAAAAAGAGACAAATGAAACATTTTAGAAAAATTGTAAAAAACATATTTCTATACTAAGGATTCAATTGGGAAGTTTACTAAGCATAGTTCTTAGTAGTTTCTTTGATACAAATGTTATGTGCAGTCATATAGTTAATTTAGTTTAGACGTTAAAATTACTGAAAGTCAAATTGATCCTTTGTGCCCCTCTCTACTTTAGTGATCTTATACATAATTTCGGAGGAGTGCCATAAAAATTAACACTATATACACGGAAACATATTTTGAATCTGCATTTCTAAATGAAAATTGACATGATTACTGTTTCATATCATTAATACATGAACGCGCAAATTTGTTGAAAAATATTGAACTAAATGCATAACATTAATTTATTGCTATAATAATCGTAATGTAATAATTATTTATTACGACCACTCCGCGAAACTAGAACCCGAGCTAGAACTCTATCGTTAACAATTTATATTAGCACTTGATTGCACTGATAATAAGTGACTTTTCACTGAAAATATAAAGTATTCATATGTTCCGAATAAATAATTTTTATAATCAGAATGAATAATTTTCATAATCGGAATAATTAATTTTTATAATCAGAATGGTGAACTATAACTTCATATTATTTAAAGGAACATCTATTTTTCAAGGACCATGAGGCCTATGTGTCACGTAATTAGACATGAACCAAAGGTAACAAATATATGATTTAAGATGATAAACAATACGACTATTGAATCAAAGAGTATGTAATAAAGCACTTACCTCCGTTTTGCAACATAAAGTCTATGAGATCACCAATTTCTGGACCTAAATGTCTTTCCTCATCCTGGCCATAGCCAAAATCTAAGGCCAAGAACAGCACCCGACCCAGCTCTCGCACCAACTGAAATTAAAAAAAACGATTAGGTTAAAAATCAATCAATCTTAAATGGCACAATAGACATGATGATTCAATAGAGTTTATCAATCATCAATATAATTGCTATGAATTAACTAATTTGTAGAAAGTGTTTATTTCTTTTCCTGAAATGTGACGATCAATCAAAGAATTTTCACATTACGCAATATGTTTATAATTGTATATTTTCTAATAAACAATGTCGGTTTCAATGCATTTTCCTAACGCATAATTAAAACGCAAACATTTAGAAACTGTATTTATATAAATAACTATCACTATAGCGCTGCTAATTGGAATTGTTTGAAATTTTATGCAAATTACGACCAACTTGGTTTAATTAAACTCGCAAAAATTAAAATAATTTAAAATATACATATTCTGTCTCTATTTGAAATTATTTTCATACTTCAATTCACAACACATAAAAATTCATTCGCTAAATTGAGATTAAAAAAAATTATAAAAATGATATTTCAATTAGTCTAATTATACAAAATTATATAAAGTCTATTGTGCAAAAGTAAAACAATTTTATCTTAAAGAACATAGTAATCTGATATATTAATTTTTTTTTTCGTAACTATGTGAAATGTAAACTAGAACTTATATAGGCCAAATCTTCACAAATATGGTTCCTTTATAAATAATATTAAATTTATGTAAGTAATAATAATAAATAATCCACATAATATTAATTGATACTTGATTTAATAAGGTTAATTCATTTGCTTAACATACTGTTATATTAAAATTTTATAGCAACACGTAACACCATGTAATTGATAAATATTTTACATTTTAATATCAAATTAACATTCTTTAGTAACACCATCAATATTTACTACATGTAAAGAATTACCATATAACTTGTTCCCATGTTAGCAGGGCCGGATTTAGAAATTTGGCGCCCCGGGGCACTGACAAAAATGCCGCCCCATACCTGAAATTTTACGAACTTTCGAACTTTTTTTTAAAGCAATAGCGCTGCTTCAGCTGCGTTGGGACAAAATATAGAAGCGCGTAAGCGCCGCGTCGCAGTCTAACGGATAAACACTGTAACATTGTTTACGCATATAAATGTGAACAAAATTTATACGTATTATTATAATATCTTTAAAATATCTGATAATTTAATGTGCATATGTCTTATGATCACTTTTGTCCGCCAAATGTTTCTTTTTCAATTTTTTTTATTGGATCATCGAAACCGCTAAACCTGCCCCCCACAAATTTAAGCAGTTATCTATTCTGTAATTTTTTTTAATGATATTGGATGCTTTTTTTCTCAAAAACTGAATTATCATTTTTGGCATTTTGGCCCGTATCTTCAAAACAGTTGACCTGCCTTGGTCTATAACTAATCAGCACGTCTTCTTATCAATAGGGATTGAATCATTTAAATCGGTTGATCTGTGTTCTCGAAATCCACTTGAATAATTAAAAAATATTAGATTTGTATTGATCAGGAGACGTGCTGATTAGCTTTTGGTACAGGCAATTACGAAAAATGATAATTGAGTTTCGATATTTCTTCTCTGAAACAGCTACGCAACGCAATTGCTTTGCAAAAAGTTCATATTTTTCGAAAAATTTCATAATAGAAAAAAAAATTTTAAAAGTCTTTTTTTTTCATTTTTCAAAAAATTTTAAAGCTCTTTATAAAATGTAATTTTCAGTACGGGATGTTTCAGTAATCTGTCTTAAGGCACAATGCAATGAGTTTAATTTTTTTTTCGATGCTTGGAAGTGCACAAATTCGTTATTTTAAGAGGGCTCGAGAACTTTCAGCTTGTTTACGGATCTTTATATTAGCCAAATTGTCAAATTAACCAACTTATTAACCAATTTGATAATTTACGTTCCGAGAGGGAGACAAGGCAAAATAATAAATTTTAGTTATTAGTTACCCAAAATTTGCATTGCAATCGTATTGTGTTTTGTTAATTATATTTCCTGATATAAAAAATATTGTTAAAAAAAAAGTTGATTATATTGTATAGAATTTTTTCTCACTATCCAAATTTTGCCGCCCCCCAAAATTTGCCGCCCTGGGCAGTAGCCCCGATTGCCCCTACTGTAAATCCAGCACTGCATGTTAGTAATAATTTAGTACATGGTATTATAAATTATTCAACACTTTATTCTTGCTAAAAATATTTAAGAAAGATGATGAAACTTATTAACAGATAAATTAATCCATTCGCCTTTAGGGTGTAGATTTATAATTAGTTATATATTTACAAACGAATATATAACGAATTTCATAATTACATCTAATTTAGATGAACATAAATAATTATAAATTAGGTTGAATGTATTGATTGGACATTTTTATTTTTAACTATGCTAGTATATCATAATACCACTATATTGTTGTATCAAATAACATTTTCATATTCATTATTGCTTAAATTTAATAATATACATCAGCAAATCAGACGAAGTATATCAAGGCTAACCCGAATTCACTATTTATTACTGAACACAATTTTGTTAAATTTTTCTGCCGTAGTTATAGAATTTATTCTAACGTAGTTATAGAATTTATTAAATCTCTCCTTCGATAATTCAGGTTGTTGGGTTCTAATTCAACACTTGTAGCTGTGGACTGTATTAAACACTGATTTGTTTGTATATTATGTATTTGTTGCAGTTCTAATTACAATCACTGATTTGTTACTAAGTTATAATGAAAGAAGATATATTTATTTTTATTGATTATTTACATGTTGTTAAGCGGACTTTACTTTTTGAAGTAAACAACTTGTTCAATTAATACACTCCGCTACCCCCTCTACCAGGGGTAGCAACCATTCCGTGTAAAGCTTAATGCCCTGAAGTTTGTCGCCTTCATGACCAATATAATAAAACGAAAGGACGTCCGAACATTACCCTTTTATCAACTTTAAAATTTGTTTTACATTTTATCAACAATTTTTAAATTATAATATTTTATTTGTGTCAATATTATCATCGCGTATGGAGGATGAACACGAAGCGAAAGCGATTTATTTAGAATACAAAAAACAGTCATAGAAACAAGGATTTGGCAAATTGCAATAAATGTAAAAATCAATCATTTGATAAATATCAAAGTTAATGATATTTCATAGTTAATGATAATTCACTTTTCATTCAAAAGCTAATTTACAAATTGCTCAACAAAAATTCTAAACCATGAGAAAAATCACAAGTTGTGTGACATTTAGCGTAGATCGTATCAGGTTCTCATGATTGATATTATTTTATAGTATATTTTTTAATTTAAAATATTTTTATTGTATTTTCTTTCTCTTTTAATATAAAAATAGAATCAAGATATAAAATTAGCAAATGAATTTTCATTTATGCAAAAACATGATAAGTCATTCATTAAATTTAAAAACTAATTACAAAAATATATGTTCGCAGTTAAGTGCACGTGTAAGAGTTGCTATAAAAAGGTTTTGTAATGAATTACAAATTGCTGTAACTTCCCATACCAAAAATTAAAATTTTTAAAAAATCTCTAAAGTTGTTCGAGTACTTTGAAATAATTTTGAAAATTTTAAAATGCTTAAAATATTTTTTTTTAAAAATTGTCATCTTGTTTCGCCGCGTGGCTGTTTTAGAGATGAAATATCAAATTAAACATTGGTACGGAACCATTGGTATTAAAATCTGTAAAAAATTCTGATAATTTTATATTTTGATATTCTGAATATCTAATAATTTGATTTGATAATTTGATCTGCATATATCTAATGATCATTTTTGACCGCCAAATTGGCATTTTTTTTACATTTCTTTTAAATGGAAGAAGTTCATTAATCTGGATCGACATTAAAACTGCCACTTAGCTCCGTCCATTCTTTCATTCAGTAAACCATTTTAAAAAGTCAATATTGTACCATCGAGTGTTGAATTTTAATTGTCGAAAACAGTTTTGTAACAAGTGTTTAGAGTAATAATTAGTGAGTGATAAGAGACCTTCAAACAGATTAGATAATAATTTAATTTGTGTCGGTGTGTCTTAGGTCGGTGCAATTTGTTTACCGATCACGCATTTAGCAATTAGCGCTTCTTACAAAAGAGAACGTGCCGTGTCTCTGGTGCATATTCAAATGCTAAGAAATTAAACTACCTGTTAACCAATGACATCAGAACGAGGCGATAATTTCGTTGGAAGTTTCTTTTTTAGTTATTCATTAACTGCTCATTAATAGCATTCAAATATAATAAAGTTGTAAATTATGGACAGAGAGCAAATGACACTCGAAATAGACACACAAACCGACAGTGATTGCAGCAGGCAGTTAAACAAATAAATATTACATTTCTTACATTTAATTATTAAAATATGTATATATAAACAGAATTGTTGAATCACTTATTGGAGTGATTCTCCAACTATATATATAATATATATCACAATAATTTATATGTGTGTTTGAAAGTGTGCGTATGTGTGTGAGTGAATGATATAAGCCACATAGCTCATAGAATACTGTATTCTAATTCCTATTGAAAATTTTAAAAAAAATTGAAAGAATTGTTAGTAATTGTATATGTTTGAAAATTGTTCTAATAATTGTGAAGAGATATTACCAAATTTTACCCTTACATCCAATACCCATATTCTGCTTATTAATAAAAAGTTATTCAGCAACAACAAAAAATTACGCATTCATTTACTGTAATACTTTAACGACATTTATAAATGTGTTTCTTAGAAATTATCTTAAAAGTCCAAAAACATAAACTGGCTTGAAACAAATTCAAAAACAGAAGGATTTTTTTTAATTACAATGTGTCCATATTAAGAAAGCATTTAATAATTTTTTTCATACCTTAGAATATAGTTTATTTGGAACCCGGTAGTTGTCCTATCCTAGTTGTAATATATTATGACTATACTAAACAGTATTTTCTGACTACATATTTTTTCATGCAGTAATGCCCACGAGAGGCGATTCTCACATATCAGATTTATTTGAGATTTA